AAAAAATCAAAGATGTTCATGTCACTGACACAGATTACTTAGTTTCGTTAGATGTATCAAATCTTTTTACTAATGTACCTATCCCAGAGGTTTTAGAATACATCAAATCTTACTTGTCTTTATCTACCTTACCAGATGTAGAACTGTTGGAACTTATGAACTTATTAACAATTAGTCTTGAACAAAACTTCTTCCTCTTTAATAATGAAATTTTTACACAGACAACAGGATTAGCTATGGGTTCGCCTTTATCTCCTATACTTGCAGACATCTTTATGCATAATTTTGAGAATAACAATATATTAAACAACAATCCTTTTTGCTCAGCTATTAAATTCTATCATAGATATGTTGATGACATACTGATACTATGGACTGGTGATCTGGATAAGTTAAATAACTTCCTAAATTATATAAACACCATACATAGTAACATCAAATTTACATTAGAGATAGAAAACAACAAATCTATCAACTTCCTTGATTTAACTATATCCCATTGTACAGATCTTAAGTTGGAATTTAACATATTCAGAAAACCTACTCACACAGGGGTTGTCATTGATAATTTATCCAATCACCCAGTTACACATAAGTTAGCAGCTTTCAATTGTTACTTGGAACGTCTTCTGAAAGTACCACTATCAGTAGATAACTTTAATAAAGAACTCAATGTTATCAAACAAATTGCTAATAGTCACAATTATGATCAGAACTTAATAGATAAAATGCTTCATAGAAAACAGAATAAACGTAATCAGAACAATAGTTACATAATTGAGCCCCTTCCCAATATTGAAGCAGATAATCGTAAGTATGTTTCACTTACTTTTATTGGAAAATTCTCATATCGTATAGCCAACTTGTTCAAAGATTCCTTCAGAATTAGCTTTAGAACGTCCAACTCGATCAGTAGCCTGTTTGTTAGGAATAAGGATAAGATTGATCCTATGGATCAGTCTGGTTTTTATAAACTAACTTGTTTGAACTGTCCATGCTCATATGTGGGAAGGACCTTTCGTAATTTTAAAATACGCCTGAAAGAGCACACACGCTGTCTTAACACTAACACTACTGGTTTTTCTCACTTTGCTGCTCATTTGTTAGACACTGGTCACGATTTTGATTCTAGCATTGGCTTCGACATTTTGCATATGACTTCTAATAAATTCCTTCTGAATAACTTTGAGAACCTGGAAATTTAAAAAAATATTAAATCTGGCCCCTCCTGCTCTCTGAATGCACAAATTCAATTTATTAGTACCCCAACGTTCTCTGCGCTTATTTAAATTATTTTCAGACTTTTACCCCCACTCATTTGATCTTCAGTCAGTTACTTACCACAATTAACTCTCCCAATTTAGATTTTCTTTCCATTAATTTTTGCCCATTCGCATCTTATTAAAAATTTTTTAGCTTATTCAAATTCTCCCACGTGGTTGTCATACGCCAAAATTTGACTTTCCTCTTTTTTGACATTCGTACTGTCAACCTTTTTTCCGTTTCCTGTAACAGTAATTTTCTTTTTGATTATCTGCTTCAAATTTTCCCTTTTTACATATGAATTTTCATATTTTCTTGTTTAGTGTTCTAATTTTCTTGTTAGTATAAAAATTTTTTGTTTTCTCATTCTCAGTTTAATATATTTTACTTTCAATAAATTTTGTCATCGCCACCTATACTCACTTTCAGTAAATAACACCTCCGTTAGTACACTATTAATCCGCTAATTTAAAATTTACAGTTTACTGCATTGATTCGTTAAAAATCTAGATAGATGTCTTGACAGTCTGATAATTTTTACTTTTTTACTTTTTACTTTCAGTAATTAACATTATTTCCTTAAAATTTTTTTAAACTGTTTGTGCTTGTAAAACTATTTTGTGTTGTTTAGTTAATAATTGTCTTAAATGTGTTTTAATTAATTATTTTATTCAAAAAGACATCTGGTGGTTTAACCTAACCTACATTTAAAACATTTTTTAAAAAATACTTATTACACATGACTTTTTTAACTCGTTCTGTTAAACTTTTTGTAGCGCTTCCTTTATGGAATTAGTCAAGGTGAGTCAAGGTTATTGTTTAACTTTCTTTTGTGTTTTTTCTGTTATTTTGTATATGTTAAAGTCCGTTCATGCTTTTATAATTGTTTTTATTACAACTGACTCCTTGATATTCCATTTAGGTGTGCCTGATGATGAAGTGACAACTTCGAAACCGGTCGCCAATAAATTGACTTTGTGAGAAATAAAGGACTTTTTCTTTAACCTTTACACTTATATCCATAAATCCCTTCTATAATTGATTCTTTATTATAGATTTACTAGTTGTCATCCAATTAGTTTTAGAATTTAACAAAACAATTAAATAAAGAGATTTTTAAAACAATGTGACAATTTATTACACAAATAGATTGATTTTATCAATCTAACAATAAAACTTCATTGCACTTGATTAATCTACATAAAATAAATCAATGGATTCCCAAACATCAATTCATACCAATTACTAGGAATAAGTCAAATAATCGATTCAAAATCGATTATTTATGATACAGAAACTAGAATTCTTTTCTATAAAAGTTTCGATTATTATTTGACATTTTATTATTATAACCTGCAAAAAATAATGTCTATCTACGTAAAATATTTATTAATAATTCTACTTTCTATTCAATTTTATCAAACGGTAATTAATATTTAGAATAAATATACAAATTTTGTGAATAATTATTTACAATATCTTAAACTGTTCATTGACATTTACTACTCACATAGTCCTTATGTTTTCTTCCAGATTTTTTTTCTGCATTTTAATTTATATTTTATTTTAATATTTCTTTCCTTTTTAGGAACTTAAATTCCAAATTGAGGAAAGAATTTCTGACTTTTCTCCTCTCACAGGACAAGATGAATTCAACAACCTCTATTTTTTCTATCGTCATCGTGTCTCCATAAAACTCATTAGCTACCAGTAAGATTTACTAATTAAAATGAGATCATTATTTGATGATTTTCTATTTCAAAATTCTGGTTAGACTACTATTTATAACATTTATGTTTAAATATTTGCTATTTTAAACCTTTTTTAAGCTTATATTTTCCATAAATTATATACTCTGTAAGTATTATTGATTTTTAATCTTTATTTCAACTGCCAATCAAATTTATCTTCTTAGTTATCATTTACTTTGACTTTTATTAGAAAATTATAATATCACATACAGGGTGATACTTTACTATATTATTAAATCAACATTTTAAAGTGAAAATTCTTACTTTTCTAAGTATAATTACAGTTCATCAAATTTCTAGAGGTGTTCGACACCCAGACAGAGAACGCGCTACGTGTGACTAAGATAGCTATTGTACAGTCTGCTAAACAAGTTATTTTAAATAGTTTTTAATATTTTTAGGTAATTAAATTTTAAAAGTGTGGAATAGTTAAGGGATTAAATTGGTCTGATTGGACTTTCTTAGAACGTTTTTAAAAGCAGCTAAAGATAGTATGTAGAATTGAAAATAATTATTATGCCATAAAAGGTGTTTTGGAATTCCTTCAACCTTTTGAAATTGAGTCAGAAAATATAAATTTTATAGGATAGCGGAAAATACCTATAATTTTTTTGTAGGCCTTTGTAAATCGTGGAAATAGTTTATATTTTATTTCTACCTTATTAAGGAAAATGGTACCTATTATTAATAACGGTTGTTTCTGAAACATTACTAAAATTTTCGAAATTTTGTTTTCCTACAAAATAATAAACTATACTATTTAGAAAAAAATTTATTTCTCTTATAATTTTATAAAAAATAACGGGAATATTTACATTTCTTGATCTATTAAACAAAACGATAAATTATCTCAACAAATGACACCATGTTCTAGTACGGAAGCTAGCTTTACATTTTTGTTGGTGGTTTCATGGGTTTCATATCAATTTTTTGTAATTGTAGTTTACACGTACATATACCTCTTAACACTTGTTTGCTTTATTAAAAAAGTGTGTTGTTGTGATTTACGTCGAAATAAGTCAAAAACAACTTGAAACCCCATATAAAATCAAAAAGGAGAAACGGAAAAAAATTGAGCCTGTAAATGAACACAACTCAGAAACAAAAATAGCTATCTAATAATAAAAAAATAAAATTTGATTCTTGTGCAGCTTCATCTATATCATTAACTGTTTTTGGTTTTTTAATGGTTTTTCTTGGTGATGAAAATTCCGATATCCCACGGTTATCGATTCTTTTTTTCTCTCCAGAAATGCGGACGACAGTGTTTTTAGATACTCCTGTGGCTGCAGCAACACGATCATTTACATTTTTAAATGGTATTGAAGGTGAATTAAAGTTTCCTTCTCTTTTCATAAACTCTATAACATTGGCTATTATTTCGCGAGATTGACTGTTAATCACGCGGCCTCTTAATTTGCTATTAAACTCCATACTTAGGTTCTATTAAACTGTAATGAGCAAAAAACACAAACGAAAATAAAAGAAATGTTTTAGCGAAATTTACATCTGACATTTACGTCTGAATGAAATAGTGAAATACTTGATGCGCAGAGTGTACTTTCATTGCGTAAATCCGTCGGGATGCCTGTCAGTAGTGCTTTCTCTGTCTAGCCGTCGAAAGCCTCTAGAAATTTGATGAACTGTACTTTGTTGAATTCTAATAACACATCAATACATACATAGTACATATATGTAAGTTGTATGTAAAAGTTTTACGGTTAGGCTAATTTTGTTTATTTTTGATAAATAACAATAAATACTAGTGACAAACCAAAATTTTCTGACTTGTACAAAAGTCAGTAAAAGTTGTTTTAATTTTTACTGACTATTCCCAGATGGTGTAAACATGAACTTAAAACTGTGCATGCGGTTGTAACTAAAAGCTTGTCAAATAAATACTTATAGAATAGGAATCCGAAAAATTAATTAAATAGTGACCCACTTAAAAAGTTCAATTTTTAAATTAATTTGTGATATTCTTACCGTATTTGAACTCTGGATAAGCTGCTCTTTATCAAAGTCCATACTATTTTCATCGCCTTCATGGTTGATTGAATTTCTATTACTCTTGTTCCTCTTATTCCTCCTTTTTCTTCTATCTGGAATGTTCAGAGGTGAGTTAACAGACGAATTTTGCAACCTCTGCTGTACCGAAACTAATTCAATGTTATCAGGTTCAGGAGATAATGGAAGAATGATAATATCGTCATTTGTTTCATGCATCGTAACGTCATGATGCAGCCTTTCCACAGTACATAGTTGAACGTTTTCGACATCTGAAGAACATTCGGAGGTGGGTGGAGTAGGAACCGCTGCTGGTACTTGCACTACATATACTATAGGAGAAGTGGTGTAGCACGGTAGTACGACTTGTTGCGGTACGATCACAGGCTGTGTGGTTTGAGATACTGGCGCATGTTGTATCACAGATACTTGTCTCTTTTCAGAAGCTTCTTGCTTCTTTTGACGCATGGCCAATTCTGGAGTTAGAGGGCGATAACAATGCGTTGGACTTGAAGAATCTACTTCGGTAGGAACCGTGTGATGTATCATCACCACACTCGGTGCAGGTAAGGGTGGCAGGCTTTGGGATAGGGAAAGAAGGTCATGTGCTGCTTCAGTTTCTTCTGCGCTGCGTTTTGCGATAGAAAGCGGTTCGCCATCTGGTTTGGTGTCTTTCTTTTCGTTGAGAGTAGTACCATTTGGAACGAATTCTTGTGAAAGACCTGGAATAAAATTAATATGTAAGCAAGACGACATTATATTTACTAATAATGAATGTTGAAGAAACACTGAAATCATAGAGATTTAAGTACAGAGTACCTGAAAGTGCATATTTAATAGTTGTTATTGTTTAATCACCCAAAATTCATTGTGAAACGATTGATCATAATCATGGTTAAGTATTTTGAAATATTCAAATATTTTTTGATTTGAAATGATAATAAGAAACAAACATTTACCAATACTTACTAATAAACCTCCTTATGCAAAATGCATCTTCATACTAAATTATTAATGTAACAATGTATATTGTTAAATAGGTAAGTACATAAATATGTAGAAAAATATTTGGTGGAATTTGGATGTGAATTTATAATTTAAGAATGTTTTGATAAGTTAATTTCGTCATCTTTTTTAAAAAAAATATTGCAAAAGATAAATAAAATTAATGGCAAAACTCGATAAATGTAATAATTTTATAATACAGTTAGTAAATTTCAACAAAAATTTAATAATCCTTAATAATGGCGACGTTGGATGATTTTTCTTTTTAATAAAATTAATCGAACTTCATCAAAATATACAAGATTAAGAATTCTTACTTCTATTATGGTTTCCTGCCACATCCAAACTTCCAAATTACTTTATACTTTCGAATTCATGATTAGGGACACTGTTCAAAAAATAAATTTGCATCTGTTTCATCAGCCCATGCTGGGTGGTTTGTCGTGTTTATGTGGTGGACAAAATTATATAGGCATATAATTTGTTATAATTTATTTATTATAAGAAAATATTTGGGGTCTAGACTGAGTAGACAATATTTGTAATGTTTGTATAATTATTGCATTGTTCATCTAGAATAATTAATTCTTATTAATGTACATACATATTTTATGTAATAGAAAAACAATTAATCTGTCAATTATTTTTTTATTGATTGGAAAAAATGTGTAAACACAGTAGAAAGGCACGTATCAATGAGTTAGATAATAAAAATTATCATATTTTTACAACTTGTAATATTTAACATACATATACAGGGCTGTGCATAATTAGCGGAAAACTAGATTGGTACAGGGAAAAAATTCACTAATCGTTAGCGAACTTTTACTTACCGTAATTAAAAAGCTGTATACTATATGGGACAGGTAAAATGTAGTAAGTAAACCAAGATTTCTGAAATAAGTCACATATAGTTAGTGAACAGTAGACTGGGCCAAAAAAATTACTATTTTTTTTTGAAAAATATATCGAGAATGTCATTCAGGATGACAAAAAAAATTCGTGAAAATTTGTGCCTTTAATATTAATTTTATCATTATCATAGCTATTTTTGATTTTTAGTCATACTTTGATGGTTTACATTAGAACTGTCAAAACATTAAAATAAAAAAAATTCCTTTCCACTTATTTTTATATAAAATTAAATTCTCTGCAAAAAAGGTCTGATTAAAAATGTTTGTCAGACGAGCCGTTTCCGAGTAATTGAGCTTAGTAGATCGATGCGTTTTTTCGATTTGTCCTTTTTACTTTGAAATTTTGTAACTAATGAATCAATAAATATTTAAAAAAACTCACGTCGGATTCTTAAAGGAAATTTAATGTTCAACAAAAAAGGTCTCTTAAAATTGTTGCCTAAATTTAATTCTTCAAAAGTTATTCACGATTAAAATCGAAGAAAAAATTGAAATTTTTTGTAGATAAAATAATTTTATATAAAAATAAGTGAAAAGGAATTTTTTTTCATTTTAATGTTTTGACAGTTTTAACGTAAAATATCAAATTATGTCTAAAAATCAAAAAAAGCGATGTAAGAGCTCTAAAAATTAATATTAAGGGCTCAAATGTTCACGAATTTTTTTTTGTTATCCTGAATGACATTCTCGATATATTTAAAAAAAAAAATAGTAAATTTTTTTGGCCCAGTCTAGTAAACAGTTTAATTAGTTTTTAGACGACCTACAGTTAGTGAACTATTTACTTGTGGTTAGTGTACATTATTTTTTTACTATAGGTAGACTTGAGGGTGGGGATCATGAATTTTTTTTTTTTTATTAACAACTCTATACACTACGCCTTGTCAATAGTCAATGAACAAAATAAAATATATTTCTTGGTAAAACACCTTACAAAAATAATTATTCTAGAATAAATCAAAATCAACTTTTTTATATTGTTTATTATTTTTGTTTTTACGAAATATCATGGCATGACTTCCTGAAATTGAAATTTACTTTACGATCCTTTATTAAAATACATTTTTTCATGACTTTTGTTGTTTCGAAATTATACAGTGTGTCTACTTAAGTTGGAACCATATGGAAAACATTTTTATTATTGATTTTAGTAAAAAAAAATTATTCTTGATAAAAAGTCCTGCATGACCTAAAACCTAAAATACAGTCATCACATATCAAATTAAGAAAAGTTGATTAGAATTGAATATTACATTCAAATATGCAATTACACCGATCTATCTGAAAAAACAGATTTTCTTATTTTTTATAAACTCTACACTCTACACATTGATTGTAAATATCTGAAAACGATATAAATTGCCTTAGCAACTATAAACATGATACGCTTTCCTTTTGTTGATGTTTGTGAAGAATTTAGCAAATTTCTTAATGAAAATTTTCGATTTTGTAAAAAAATTAACGTATTTTACTCTTGAGCAAAATTTATATTTTTTGACAAACCTCGTATACGTCTTGAAAAATTTATATCTGATGACTGTATTTTAAGTTTTGGGTCATGCAGGACTTTTTATCAAGAATAACTTTTTTTCCTAAAATCAATAATAAAAATGTTTTCCATATGTTTCCAACTTAAGTAAACACACTGTATATTTACGGAATTAAATTTCTATTTATTAATATAATAGCTAAGAGGTTTATTCACTGATTTACCATGGTGCTTCTTAAAAATTTCGTAAAAACTATAAAATAACTAAAGAGAAAAAATAGAACAGGCACCTGACCCCTCATCATCTAAATTCTAAATGTTGGCATGCCGCGAAAAATATATTCAAAATATTTACAGAATAAATAATCGATTTATATTTAAGAAATAAATATTAAAATAAACGCATATATGATAAATAAAACATAAATAAAAAATATAAACCTTAGAATGAAAATAGGAAATTTGTTATTTATATGGATATCAATGAATTAATTGTCTGAAAACAAAACCAAACAATATGTTTAAATAATTTAAAGGTACTTTCCTCTGTAACACAAATCGCTACTCTACTACACACATTAAAGTGTTTCGGGACCTAGGATCCAAAAACCTAGTAAATACTAGTGAGGCCAAATGGACTCAGTTTAAGACCGTAGTCTTTTACTCGAGTCTTCTACTCAAGACTATTCTTTCTGTCAACTATCTACAGTCTACTTTAACCCAAAATTTATGTGACAATTTAATTTTTACTTTTAGAATATCAACGTATTACGTTGGATAATTCTTAATTTTAATGTAAGCCATTGACTAGAGTATTAACCTAATTGTTTGATTTATTTTAATACGTGTGTTTTCTTTTAGAAAATTTTGTTAAAACAATAAAATACTTTTTACAATTTCTATGAAATTTTTATATTTTACTAATAAGAAAGCGAATTATAAAAAATGCACATTTAAAAAAACAAAATTGACTTATCCGAACAAAATTTTATGAAATTTTTTAATTAATCGATTATTTTATATTAACATCGATTATTTTCGAGGGTAACGTCTTTTTTTAGAACCAAATGACTGTATTATGAGATAAATTTATCAAAAGGGTTTTTAACGGCTTTATTATAAAGTAAGAGATCAAAAAAAAAACATTTAACACTTGTTATATATATTATATTATAGACCAAGATACTGAAGTGGCACTTTTTATATCAGGGCGAAAAGTTTGTAGCCCGATTATAATGAGAAAGGGCAAGCTGTCATCTAATTCAGATTCCGAAGACGTAAAGATATCAGATACCGTAAATTTTAGATGGTAGTTGGTTTCTTGATGCAGCGCTAAGGTGATTACAGCATTCCCTTATAATTTTCGGACAAGGATATTTTAAAAAGCGATTTTTTAAAAAAATTAAAATTTTGGCAAAATAAATCAGGCAATAATATCTAGAATATGCATATTATATTTTAAAGATTTAATTCCCTTCAGTTTCCAAGAAAAAAATTAAAGGTATTTAAATTTTTAAATATCGTGATGAAAATAAATGTATTCCTCAACAGCACTATTCTTAATATAATCCATAAATTTAAGATCCTAATGTCTTGTTAATGATTTTTTAAAATTCGTCAAAATTAGTGGCTAAAATGACTCGTTAAGTGCTATCTTCTAGTGTAAACTGGTGTAGACTAGTTTAAATCTTTTCAGGAAACGAATGATGACTGAGAGTGTACGATACGATAGTTACAATCGTGTTACAACAGAAGACAGCACTTAACTAGGCGTTTTAGCCACTAATTTTGGCGAATTTTAAAAAATCATTAACAAGACAATAAGAGCTCAAATTCGGGGATTATATTAGGAATAGTGCTGTTAAGTTGAGAAACGAATTTATTTTCATTGACATTTTAAAATTTAAAGCCATTTGATTTCGGAAACTGGAAGGAATTAAAACTTTAAAATATATGCATATTCTAGATATTATTGCCTAATATATTTTGTCAAAATTTTAATTTTTTTAAAAAATTAGTTTTTGAAACATCATTGTCCGAAAATTATAAGGAGGTGCTGTAATCACCTTAAGGAAACTAATATATTTTATATATTTAGTAGTTATTAACGTAAAGTATAAGAAATCATTAGCAGGTAGTGGCCACGTTTTCTATAAAGTTAAGCGACATCTTGAATTATTTTAAGAGGGTTAGTCGATTCAAAGAAATGAAAGTAGAGGGCAAAAATCGTCCTTGAGGAAGTTGTTAATATGCTAGGTCAAGAAAATAGAATTATGGTAAAGAAGTACAGTTAAAAGCGTACTTACCTGATTACCACAAACTGCCCCACATACTAATAAGAACTAAAGTGAAGGCGCAAAAATAATTGCTAAAAAAGGATACTACTAAGAACATTTGCTGATGCCAGGATAGGAATTTGACCCAACTCATAATGCTCACATACTTCTTGAAGACCACACTGAAGGCAACTTAGTTTTCTTATGTGCATTATTGTGTTCTCGCTTTTTGACCATGCAAGTTGATGGATGGACATAGTTCCATTAAAAACAGAGGCTTTAGCACTCTGAACAATCTTATCGATGCTGGGTAATAAAAACAAGTCAATTGTTCTAATGGTTATACCTTTACACTTCCTGGATATGACAGAAGCAAAAGAGTTAATGTTGGAAACATCCGTTCCCCTTGCTACAATGGCATCGGCTGTTATTTTAATACATCTCCCAACTATATCGGGAGCACCTTTCCCGTATCCGCTTTCTGTTTAATTCCAAACCAGAGATTCTAGTTCAAATTCTTTTACTAAATAGGCAACCATTAATTGAAAGATGATTTTATTGCGGTACTGTGCGGATGGCCCATCACTTACGAAATATAAGGTTTTTTCTTTGGTACCATTTTTTTTTTATTAAACTAATTAGAGGCTTTATATGCAAAAAAATTGACGCAGGATCGTGTCGAAGACTATCGGACAATGTACAGAAGCAGTGAGACTTTATTTTCTTTTCAGGTATATTTTTATAATAAAAAACTGATGTGTGAAGGGTAATTTGAGGCTTGGACCCTCCAAAATGAGCGAATTGAATTTCTTCGCCAAATTTACAGCTGTAGTTCTCTGAAAAATCAATGTATAGTAGAGCTTTTGTTTCGGAGAGACGTTGTTTTGTTTCACACCTTAAACTGATGGATCATGTTATTAATATGTTTTATGTAGTGAAAAATTTCATAAATATGTTCTTTAATTCGACTTTTAAACAGTAAATTGTTTCTTTTACTGTATTACTGCATATTTTTTTCTTATCTTTAACTGTTACATCTACTTCCACTCTCTGTGATAACCATTTTTTTTAACTGAAGTCATATCATCATCATTTTAATAAAGAAAATTGATTTTTTTAACACTATGTTGCATGCACTGTCTCTCTAGGCAGTCTTCTTTAAGTGGCTCACCCATTGCTTGTGGACAACACATAGCTTTTACTACTTGATGTGGAAAGCTTTCTTCAATCATGTTACTTAAAAGTGCCATGTTGGTATGAATTTTATACAAACAATTATTTCTAATTCTAGATGTGGGTATCACGACCCAAAATGGACGATTTATACAAAATTGTTGATAACTTATTTTAGGAGAATTAAAACTAACGTTAAATTTTGCATAGATATTCTTCAAACTATAATTGAGTAGTCTTATTTGTTTCTTTTGTTTGCGTCTGGTAATTGTTTCTTTTTTCCTGATGTTAACCTACTATTTTCGTCGCGCTCTAAAAAGTTAACAACCATTTTCTTTAAGTTTTCAGATCGTAATTCAGTAAGACGTTATACTTTTTCGTGATTCCTAAATCGCCTAAAAGAAGTCATCGACCTTACTTTAGACAGGTATTTATACTTCTGAATGAGGCATCCATTCAATAGATCAGCTAGCTTTCTTTTATTATCTTCACTTTTTTTTAGCAATTTTCTTTTATTTGTCTTACCAACACCTCTCCAAAATGCAGCTTCTTCTTAACTACATCTGTTACTATGGCATTCTGAAGGTTTTCTTTATCTGTTTTGGATGGAGTTTCTTTTGTATATTTAGTCTTTGCTTTATTACGACTAATACGTACTCGTAACTGATTAATAAGTCGTTGTTGTTCAAGCACTTTTTCTTTCAATTTTCTGTTTTCATTCAGAAGCTTAAAACGGTTATTTTTAGCAATTTTTTTCATACTAAAATTTGACTTCTTGAACTATGGGGTGTTTCATTTATAGTACTTACTTCTAGATCCTGACATTTTGTCACTTCAGTTCTAGTGTTTCTGACAGAAAAAGAGGTAGAAGGCACCTGTGGTGGATTATTTAAATCATTATCTATCATTTCAACACTTACCCTAGGACTTTCTGGGGACGTAGTCGCTTTAATTAAATTTTTTTTTTAATCGCGGTACTTTTTGGATCGAACCTTTCAGTTTTTCCGCACTACTCTTTGGTCTCTTGCACTTAAACCATGTATGTTTTTTACCTCTCCCTTTTCTTTTTTTTTTCTTGTACTGTTCTCTTCGTTTTTTGTTTAAATATTCTTTTTTCAATTTTTTTGTTCCTTTGTTAAGGTCTTCGACATATTACTAGCTAAAATAGAAAGTGTGCTACAGTTACCCAACGCCTAAAGAATTATTATGCTGAAAATTGTCACTTGTAAAGACATCCATCACTGGTGTGGACAATGGCTGACCACACCAGTGATGTCCACACCAGTGACGGTTGTAATGTTTTAGATTTATTTTAGATAACCTCAAAAAAGCAGGACAATCAAACTTTGGCTCAGAATCATGACACTTATGATGCAGTCTGAACCGGTTTTTAACACAAAAAAATCTGATGTGTCCAACACATGACTTTCCTATCTAGTTATTACAGGCTTTTTCCGTTTATTGTGTACAACCTATTGCAGCATCTCTATAAATGTTTAGAGGATAAACTAAATATATATACATTGTCCACATACATCTACCGCGAAACATTTTTCTATAGATATTCATTGAAAATGAAAATACTGAAAAATTTAAATTTAGCACTTTTCCTACAATTTTTCCATTACGGTCCATTTAAAAAAAATCATGTATGAACAAATATTATAGAGATCGATATCGCAAACAACTTTTATTTCAACAATTTTCATAAAAATCAGAATTTTGCACATTTTGTCAAATTTCTCGAATACGGACCATTTCAGGAAATTTTTACAAAAGGCAAAAATTATAGATAATAATATTAGAAGTAACTTTTATTTGAACAATTTTCTTCTCCAAACATAAATAACAGATATATTCCATAAAATATATAAACGGCCTCTTATAAAGTACCCCCCCAGATGTTCCGACTTTGTCCAAAATCTAATCATTTGACGTCAGGCCGAAATAAAACTTAAGCTTAAAATTTATTGATTTTTTCTTTACCCGTTTTTGAGTTTTCTTCAAATTTCGAAATTTACACATTTTCTCAAATATCTCGAATACGGTCCATTTTAGAGAAATTATGTAAGGGACAAAAATTATAGAGAATTATATTACAAACAACTTTTGTTTGAACAATTTTTATAAAAAAAAAATATTTTTTTACATTTTGTCAAATTTCTCGAATACGGACCATTTTAGGAAAATTTTGTAAATGACAAAAATTATAGATAATAAAATAAGAAGTAACTTTTATTTAAAAAATGTTCTTCCCTAAACGTAAATAACAGATATATTCCATAAAATATAAAAATGACCACCTATAAAGTACCCCCCCAGATGTTCCGACTCTGCCCAAAATCTAATCAGCTCATTAGACGCTGGAATAAAGCTTAAGTTTGAAATTTGGTGTTTTTCCGTGTATCGGTTCATGAGTTATGCGTTATACAGACACACACACACATACACAGACACACACACACACACACACACACACACACACACACACACACACACACACACACACACACACACACACACACACACACACACACACACACACACACACACACACACACACACACACACACACACACACACACACACACACACACACACACACACACACACACACACACACACACACACACACACACACACACACACACACACACACACACACACACACACACACACACACACACACACACACACACACACACACACACACACACACACACACACACACACACACACACACACACACACACACACACACACACACACAGACACACACACACACACAGACACACACACACACAGACACACACACACACACACACACACACACACACACACAGACATCATCGCGAAAATAGTCAAAACGGATTCAGGGGACCTCAAAACGTAAAAATCCGTCGAAAACTCGAGGTCGAAAAAAATCATGATTCCTATACTTTCCTTATATCTGTATACAGATAGGAAAGTAAAAACACTTATTTTACCTTTTTTACTTTCCTATCTGTATACAGATATAAGGAAAGTATAGGAATCATGATTTTTTTCGACCTCGAGTTTTCGATGGATTTTTACGTTTTGAGGTCCCCTAAATCCGTTTTGACTATTTTCGCGATGATGTCTGTGTGTGTGTGTGTGTGTGTGTGTCTGTGTGTCTGTGTGTGTGTGTGTGTCTGTGTGTGTGTGTCTGTGTGTCGCATAACTCATGAACCAATACACGGAAAACACCAAATTTTAAACTTAAGGGTTGTTCCAGCGTCCAATGAGCTGATTAGATTTTGGGCAGAGTCGGAACATCTGGGGGGGTACTTTATAGGTGGTCATTTTTATATTTTATGGAATATATCTGTTATTTACGTTTGGGGAAGAAAATTTTTCAAATAAAAGTTACTTCTTATATTATTATCTATAATTTTTGTTTGATACAAAATTTTCCTAAAATTTTCCGTATTCGAGATATTTGACAAAATTTAAAAAAATATTTTTTTTATAAAACGAATCACATAGTGTGGGCTGAAAAAAAAATCCTTAAATAATTTTTTTTACTAGTTTTGTTGTAACAGCTTCTTTGGTAAATTGTATTTGTTACTTTGTTAGAATATTTTATTTCAAAAAGTTATACTTTGCAAAATAATTTAGTATTACACAAAATGTTACCATTCCAGGAGAATGACCCATAAGCAAAACTAATTTTTCCAATAAATATGCTCGATAATTCGATATTACGTTTAATTACCTTATTGATATGTTATTGTATTAGATATTGATTAATAAAAAATAAATTAATAACAATCAAATATATCGATTAGTTTAATAATCGATTATCTGATTATTCGAAAATAATTAATTTAACGATTAATCGAAAATAATCGATTTCCTGAATAATTGATTATTTGAACATTAATGATTAATGGAACTAATCGATCTATCAATTAATCAAAAATAATCGTTTAAACGAATAATGAAATAATCGTATGATCGAAAATAGTCAATTAACCGAAAATAATCGAATAAAAAAATAATTGATTGATCAAAAATTATCGATTATCTAAATAAACCAAAATTATCTTTGCTAGTTTGTTTTTTATAATATAATATGGATATTTTCTTTAGTTTCCTTAACTTTATGCATACTAATAAATACATGCCATGTATATTTTTGGCAAAAAACAGACAGCTCCATTTTCTCTAAAAACTGCCATTCTTAAAAGCACTTAACGCAAAATCACAAAAATTTAATAAATATTTTAGGAGTTTTTTGCGATTTCCTACAACTGTAAAAAAGGAGCGAGTAACGCCGGGTTAGTAAACTGGTATACAGAGTCTTTAATAACAAAGTGATGTGGTAAAACAATAAATTTATTGAAAATGGCCGTTTTAGGGACTTTAATGAAAACTTTAGTGTCAGTTCTGTCAAATACGTTAGTTACATTATTTTTAGACTGCTACTAAAATTATAAATATTACTTTTAACCAACTGATGATATTAATTTGGTCACGTGGTATGCAGGTATTGTTAAAGACCCGATACTATTGTATCTTCACTCTACTTATCCATGTGTCTAGTACTTTTCTTCATAACATAGTTGCTAAAATTTCAGCTCAAAATTCAAGGTAAAAGGAACTTATCTCTCATGTACGAGTATTTGTTAATTTACTCGTTACTCTCAGTAGTCAAAAGCTTATTTAATGTTTTTTAATTTTCTTAATGCCTCTAATGATTGCATAAACAACCCAATATGTAGGGTAAAACCCCCAATTGTTGTCACTGCACCATTTATTGGCAATCTCGTTTGTTTTGTACATTTATCCCGTATTAGATGACTTAATATTTTGAGAAAAGTAGAAAAAGCCACGAAATATGACAACCCTGCATGTACATATCGTCGCTATTTAGTCTTTTAAAATGGCCAAGGTACCTATTAACAGGTGTATGTAGTGCTCCCGCGAAAAGTGCATAAAATTAGGAGTTCCTCGAGCTACTCTTCAATTTCGAAAAACCGAAAAAGGGCCATGTCCAATTCTGACAAAAGAGGAAGAGCAATTACTAGTTAACTTGATATTAGAAAGTCATAGCAAAGGTTTTCCTCGAAAAAAGAGGACATTCAGGCATCGGTTAAAACATTTTTAGATGTTGTTGAACGTAACACTTCTTTTAAGGATAATATGCCAGGAAAACATTGGTATGAGGCTTTCTTGAGGCGCCATCCCATGCTAGTGCATCGAACTTCAGAAGCCGTAACAAGTGCATCAGCAAATGTAGCATAAGCTGATATTAGGAAATGGTTTGAGCAAATAGAAAATTATTTAAAACAAAAAGGATATTTTTCTAAATTAGAAGATTTCACCCGTGTCTTTAATGGGGATGAAACTTGCTTCCTTTTTTGTCCTAAAATGGGAAAAGTCATTGCCCCTCGCGGTGCAAAAAACGTATATGAGGTGGACCAGGGCGATGCAAAGCAAAATTTAACTGTAATTTTTACATTTTCGGCATCTGGCGACATCAATCCTCCTCTCATAATTTATCCAAGTAAACGACTTAGTGCAACAATTTAAAATAGCATTTCAGATCACTGTGGTATTGGTTTAAGTGATAAAGGTTGGATGAAGGCCGAAATATTCGTAGACTACATAAAAAATATTCTGCATCCATATATTATTGACAAGGGTATTACATTGCCAATAATTTTGTTTTTGGATGGCCATAAGACCCACTTGAACTATGAAGTTTCTAAGTTATGTAACGAGCTTAATATTATATTGATAGCACTTTATCCAAATACTACACGTATTCTTCAACCTGCAGATGTCTCAAGCTTTAAACCGCTTAAAAATGGTTGGATAAAGTCGGTAATGGATTGGCGATGACAAAATCCTTACTTAAAATGAGGAAAAGACCACTTTGCGC